AGCAGGAATTCCATATTGTGAAAATCAGGTCTAGCTGGAAACTTGTGCCCATGTATCACTGCTTTGGATGCAAGGAAAAATTGAAGGGAACACAGTGCAGTAACAGAAGGCATTCTGGCTGACTGAGCAGTGTTCCCCTCAACTCATGTAGTTCTTCAGCTGTTTCTCTATCTGAACAATATTGGCTTTATTATGCTGCATTTTTTTCCCTCCTCTCCCTCTACCCACCCCTTTGATCTCCCTAATGACTCCTGTTTCTTTCTCTTCATGCGTTCTCATTGTTTTTCTCTGCCTATTTTATCTCCTACTACTTTTTCCCCTTTTAGTTTTACCTTTGTCCACATCAGTCTTCCTCCTCTAACCAGTATTTAAGTAGGCTTCTCTAAATGCAGTATGCTGGATTAGCTGGCAATAGGTTGACAAGGTTCCAGCACGTATGAACAATACAATGCAAGAGTAGAGTGAATAAAACCTTTATTACATCTTCTAAGTCAGCCTTTTAGAAAAGGCAGCTCAGAGATTGGATGGTTATGGCACGTAACACGCACCAAATGGCTCAACAAAAGCAGGAAGGGAAAGAGTTACAGGCACACAGTAGCCTCAGGCTGCAGAAAGCCAGTGGAAGGAGGATGGCTGTTGGTTTCACATAAATGGTGGGCAGCAAGAGCAGTGCTGCCTGCAAATCCTCTGCACCTGTAGAGGAGTGCACTTTCCTCTTCTGATGCAGGTTGTAGGTCAGTCTTTCTGATTCCTGGTACGCAATTTAGACTTTTTTTTTTTTTTTTTTTCTAAGCAAAATTACAGCTAAAGGCCACTAGTTTTTGCTTCTGTTTGCCCGATACATGCATTCCCATGGAGACCCTGTTTTCATCTGATAATCAGATATATATATATATGTATAGGTTACCCTTATTCATTGCAGTCCCCTACAGAGGGACTTCACAATGGAAGCTATTGTTGATCCAGGGAATTGGGCCTGAAACACTATTAACCGCTTTTTCAGGCATTGTTGGATTTTTTTAACTTGTTTTGTTGATTTTTTTTAGTTGATAGTTAGCAAATGCAGTTGTTGAAAGCAGATGGAACTGCACTTTATTTAATGCTTATACTTCAGTTCCATTTATGTCTTGCTATTGCAACATAATCTAAGCAAATGAGATGAGATGGGTGTAGAAAAATAATACACAGAGACCTGAAAGGAACTAAAGGAAACCTAATTTGTGTTTGGTTTCAGTGGGGCTTGGCTTGGTTTGTTTGTTGTTTTTTGTTTGGGCTTTGTTTAATTTTTTTTTTTTGAGGATTTACAATTACGTGAAGTAGCTTAGTATTTAAGAATAATCAAGACAAATGTCTGTATGTCACCTTTTGCCTAGCACAACTTCTGCTGCCTTCTCCACATCCAACTTCCCCATCCTTCTCGGATGATGCTTTTGTGTTCCACAATTTCAACATTTATGTTATACTGCTTAATAGTAGCAGATGTATGGTGTGTGCAGAATAGTTTAAACTTAATACAAATAACAGATTTTTGTAATAGATACTTTAATTTATCAGTTGCAGATGGGATAAGAAAATCGTATCTTAAGATACTGCTCTCTGTAATTAAGTGGTGTAGTTTTCTGAGTTTGTATTTTTTGAGTTTTCACGAGTGACTATAGGTTGAGTCTGCAACAGAAAATCATGTTTTCAGCTTTACAAGCCTTGTCTTGAAGGATAGTTTTTAGAATTGTATGCAAGAAGGTTATTGGAAAGGACATGCATTTTTAATGATTCTGAAATGTACTGCTGTTTCTTCAGCACTTGGAACAGCTTCGTGCAAACCGAAATAATCTAAATCCAGCACAGAAACTTATGCTGGAACAGCTGGAGAGTCAGTTTGTCTTGATGCAGCAACACCAGCAGGTGAGAACAAAAATATTTTTATCTTCTACAAAAGTTTTTTCAGTAATGGTGTCTGTTGTATTTCTTGAATCCTGAAGAATTTACATTTTACAGACTTCTCATGGCCTTTACTACATTACATTAGATAACGGATTTTTTTTCTAATGAAGTATAGTTGTGGTTTACTGGTGAAACGTAACGGGTTTAGTTGTGTTTTATTATAGAGCTATGCGATAACATGAAAGTTTTTAAGCCACACTTTCAAACTAAAGGGAGTAGATACATCTGAAAACAGACTTACTTGAAAAATACGTAATTGTAGTAAGCTGTATTACAGCATATCTCTCCTCCTCTCATTGTTCCCTTCTCTCTCTGTGTCCAACTTCAGGATTAAAATGGTGACACTCAAACTGAACAGCCTAGAAGAAAGTGTGCTGATAGCTTTACCTTAAAATTCACTCAGTGCATTTGTGAGCATGACAATCATCTTGTATCTTAAAAGCTACTGTAAAGGTCTTAAAAGCAGTATAAAACTGGAATTCACCAGTGCAGTAAAGTACACAAAGAATGTGTGACCTTTGTGTTTTAAATTCTGCAGCTAATGTTCTTGTGTTTTGTT